GTAGAAGTTGTAATCATTGACAGATGATAGTTCAGTTGAAGTTATTTTCTACCTAGGTTAGGGAGAGATAAACCAAAAAGTTAAGCAGACAAGACCATTTTCTTTCTCTCTAGAATGACAGGGTGTTATGGGGCTAACCTAACGTTTGACCTGGATGAAGAGCAATAAGAGGGTTTCTCTTCGTAATGAATTATTCAAGTTGTCTTTAAATTGGCAGCCACAGAGAGTAAGTAAGTCTTTTGCAGTCTGGGGAACAATAACTTTCATAATTAATTCATATAATGATTATCTATTGGATTGATTTTATTGTCTATGAAATTGACCCCTAACCTTATCCAAAATATACTATTGACTGTAATCAGTGCAGAAACCTCCTATTTGAGAGACTGGTACCATCAAATGCTCAAATCCTTAATAAATACATTATAATTCATGGATGATCAAACATGTTGTTTCAGCTCTTCTGTCAGTCATTCATGGGACTTCAACCAATAATGATAAACATGATGTTTGACCTGGATGCAAAGCTCAACAACACATGCTCACATATATTGCCTATTATCATCTCATAGATTTGAATACATTTGAGTGCATAATGGTTTAGGCAAATGGCATCTGGCTGCCTCCAAAACAACACTTTTCCCCTCTGGCTATATTAGCCCGATGCACCATTTGTTTTTTTATTTACACTGTTTTTTCCCTTATAAATACCTGAGATATGCAATAACACAAGCAAATACTACTCTACTAAAGTGTCTGTTCACTAAAGTTGTTCTGGTTGGACACTGAAATGCTGTGTTTCTAGCTATTTATCTATCTATCTATCTATCTATCTATCTATCTATCATAAGGCTGAATTTATAGCTACCCTAACTTAATTGATTATAGCATGGTGCTCTTGTTAGCATAAATGAAGCTAGGATATAGTGAAAGCTAAGTGAATACCATAATAGGGGTAGCAGGACATGAGGGTCTCCAAACTGGAGGAAAACAAATCACTGTAACTATTATGTAAACAAAAAAGTGTCCTTTAAAGTAAGATAACCTACACGTGGTTACACCCTGTATATGTCTGCCTGTAATTCATTGTGTTGTATCTGTAGCATGTAGTTACAGTGATAATGTGACATAATCTGCTGCTAGTTAGCAAACTTTAAAAGCGACCCACCTCAGTCTGGGCCATGCGCCAGACTCCCCCCATGTCTTCATATTATACAACAAACGTAATTAACTTAGGCTACCATCATATAGTTGCAGCTATACAACACAATGAATACGTTTTTGCCATAAAAAACAACCACAAAGAGGTTTGTTTGTTATGTTTAATTAACCAACTACATGAATGCGTAATGACGTGGATAAGGATGCGCAGCGTCACATTAACGAATAATATAGTCTATCATTCATTACTTTCCCACATGAAAGTGAAACGGTACTTACTTTGGTGTTTTCCCCCGTAGTGAAGCGTGAAACAGGGCTCGCAATTAAGAAAAAAGTAGTGTATTTTTCCACAAAGTCGTCCGGGTCCCACCCAGCTAGCTAGCTACAAACCTAACGGTCCTGAGAGTGAGCCCAGCCCGCTGCTTGTGCTCCGCAGAAGGGCGCAGTTTGTGTCCAACTTTACTACCCGGACAGATTTTTACATCTTTCCATGGCGTACCAAGTTGTTCCTTTTAAACAAAACACTGACTACGGTTAAAACTAGAAAAAGTGTCTACACAGATGGGACGATGAGTGAGATGCTGCTTTAAAAAAATGCGACCCGATATTTTTCTGCCAGGCTGTTTTTCTCGTCGTGACCCAGCTCTTTGTCCCGTGCTGGTCTCCGGTAGTCGGCGGGGTCTGCGTGGGAGTGTGGCCGGGCAGAGGTGGAGGACGGGCCGGCACGAGATGAGCGGAGTGAGAGGAGCAGACGGAGGGAGGAGTGAGTGAGGGGGGATAACGGAGAGGGAGGGACGCAGATGACGTCCAAAGCACATGAGAGCATTTGGCTGACACACACGCACACACACACGCACGCACGCATATCCGCATTTTGTTTCGGCTCGTTTTACCCCCACCCCCCCCCCCCCCTAAAACAAAAAAACAGTTTGGAAAACAATCCTTTTTTCACGTTATTTAATATTTTTACGGATGATCACATTTTTATCTCGGGTCACTGCATTTCACCGTAGCTGACCTTTGACCTGCTTGTTGCAAACGTAGCATTACTGTTGCAGCCACTGACTGTGACTCTCAGCTGAATGTATAACATATTATTTCTTTACCAATTATTTTTGTTGTAATTGTCAACCTTTTTCCCATTTAATAGTTCATATATGCTTGGCACAACACATGTGACTAAACATTTTAAAATACACAAACAAAGGTATTCTAAATATTTGCTTTCACATGGCAGTGTGTTTTCTTTCTGCTGTTTGCATTGCATCTGCAGGTTTTTCAGCCAAAGCAGGGGTTCAAAGGGGGTAGGAGGAAGGTTATCTGCTATCCTTGTGACCCATGAACGATATAAAAAAAAGCATGGAACTGATTAAAGGTTGACACGCAGTACACAATGACAGAAAGTCTCACCAACCTTGAGCTCAACCCAGATAGTGACACTTTGAACAGATTCACATGCTCAAGATCAGTGAGCTTGACTCATTTCAAGAGTGACATTTGTGGCCTTAGTAATAATTAATAAAAAAATATATCATTCACAAGCACCTTTTAAAAGATAATACAAAAGGTTTTTCACAATTTAAAACAGGTCCCAGTAAAGTATAACACAAATAAAGTAAACAATAAGATATACAACTAGGAAATCATTAGTTCACAGTGTGTTTATAAAGTAGGATAAGGAATTGATTTGCCTATAGACATATATTTTTCAAAGACACCAGCAGGTTCATAGGAGTTTTTGTATAACTTTGGCAGCCAGGGGTTCAACATTTTTTTTTTTATATTACCAACTGTTGTCATTTATGAACATTTTGTCATTATAGTATTTTACTTGAAACCACCTATTAACTCCCACAAAGGGCATCTTTAGGATGTGACGAAAACAGTTTCTGGCATTAAACTTTAAAATATGCAGGATAAAGATGTGCACATTGGTGAAGACTAAATGCTAAAGCCTTTTAGTGCCACAGTGACGCGTCCTAAAACCCGGAAGTAAATCTAATCGATAGATTTATGATCGATAGATTTATGATTCGAAAATTATAAAAGTAGGGTAGACATATGGATATTATCCGGCTGAACAAAACGTGATCTGTCTCTTCAATTTGTGTCAACCACAGACCTTCCGGGTTTTAGGACGCGTCACTGCGGCACTCTATATATAAATAATGTGCTTTTACAGCTAGAAGTGTGAGACTTGTTTTTCACTTTCACGTTGTGGTATTGATTGGACCTCATCTTGAAACCCACCTATTATTCTTTCAATGGATGAAAGGCTGGGCTTACACACCTCCAGTTGACAACACCTTATTCAAATATGTGTATGGAACTCTGTTCTTGTTCTTTATAATACAGTAACAAACTCCACGTTTCACTTTTTAACATTGGTTTAAAGAGTCTAGCCATTAAAAATAAGCACAGGGCTGAAACTGTTTTATGTGTTCATTAATAATCACATCTTCACTAATAAATTTGCTTAAGCCCTTGCATGTTTTCTCTTCTGGTAAATCAAGGGAAATACGTTTGAAGAGTTTACTGGAACCATCTAGATGATAAAACGAAAACAGCATTTAATCCTGTTGATAATTAAGTAGCCTACTCCCATAAACGAATAAAGGAGATAACACACTTGGCACAACAGTTTATTATGGTGTCTGTCATTCTCAGGTTACATGCTCTCTACTTGCGCCCCCTTATGGTCAGAAGACAGATGTGCGCTCTCATTTCGGTGGCACTTGGGTGTTGAATCTTTCCAACGAAGATATGTGTGTAAAATAAATCATTAAAAATGTATGACAAACACAAACACATACACACTTTACAAATCACAATGGATCATTTAGTATGATACTTTTTTATTTTAAATTAAAAAGAGAGTGGATCAAAAACAGGATTCAATAAATAAGAAATAAATATAATTGCTGTAATAATTAATACATACATTATAATTACTCGATTGCAAGAGTCTGACAGAAACAGGCCCTCAAAAGGTTTTCTCTAGAAAATTCTAAAATCAAAATATTGCAACCCATTCAAACCCCATCTCCCAATAAACAAAATAATTGATAAATTAGTAAATAAATAAAAAATAGCTCAAATATTAAAACCTCCGGAATAAAAGTGCGATCCCCCCTCCCCCGAATTTTCACCTAAAATCTAAGTATAAATTTAAAATAGGTTAGTGATTTCCCATTTTACAATTTGGAATGTAATATCCCTTTTATGAGGATGATGATGTTACTAGTGGTAATAATAATGATAATAATAACAATAATAATAAATAATAATGTCGCTGTGTCCTGTTCAGTGTTTATCTAAAGTAGTATTCTTTTTGCATTTTTTCCTTGTTTTTTTTAAATGCAGCTCTTTGTAAACTAAATTATTTACAGGTCATTAGGATTTTCTCCAAAGTCTCTCTAACCTACTCATTTAGTTGTCTTTTTTTTAATTTTCTTTCTTTTTTTTATTAAGAAACATCAGCCCCTCTATATTTGTCATGGATTAGACATGGTATAGACATGTTAAAGTCTATTGTAGTGATATATCAGCATTTTTTTTATCAGTACACTTCCATACGTGCTCGGTCTGAGTTGCCTTTCTGTACTTAACACCCTGTTGGCAAACTCCACACAGACCGTGGCCAAACCAAGCTCTTGGCTGTATGGGTGAAATTACTGACTCGTGTGAACAATGTGTGTTTGTCTGAGTGTCTGCAGGTGTGTGTGTGTGTGTGTGTGTGTGTGTGTGTGTGTGTGTGTGTGTGTGTGTGTGTGTGTGTGTGTGTGTGTGTGTGTGTGTGTGTGTGTGTGTGTGTGTGTGTGTGTGTGTGTGTGTGTGTGTGTGTGTGTGTGTGTTTGTGCACGTTATGTACATTTGTAAATGAGCCTTCCACCGTTCGAGGTTCAGAGTTAATAGCGCATGTGTAGTCGTGTGAGTGTGTGTCAGTGTGTGTGGCTGCACTCCCCGGACGCTCAAAGGTAGCAGACAGTCTGAAAGCACTATGAACCCTGGGATTCCACCTCGGCTGGACTCTGAAAGGTCACCTGTGAGAGGGACGGAAAGTGGTGGGGTAGAGGGAGTGATACATAAACAAGGAGGGAGGGAAAGAGAAGGGGGAGGATATGTTAGAGAGCAGTTATAAAGACACTGAAGCTCCCATGTTTCTGTCTGATCTTTACATCTTGTCAAACATGCTCCTCCCGTCAAACAAAACTCTTTTAGGCATGACTTCTGGCAGCAAACTGCACCTTTTCGGGTGCTCCTAGCTCGTCTCTGTTACACGTCGGTGAGTTAAATCAAGAAGGCATCATTCACAGTTGTAAAGCTCTGTCTTTCAACAGCAATAAATAAATCATGGTGCTTTAACACATACACACACAGTGTCTGGATCATGCAATTCAATACAGTGGATAACCGTTATTTGTGTTTGTGTGTGATTGAAGGTGTGTGTCTGCAGGTATGAATGTGTGGGTGCTATTGTGAAGCGCAATATGTGTCTATGTGTGTGACCTTATAATGAGCATGTGCTGCACTCTAGTGCCTTGGATCACGGCAAGCAAACACTACTACCAACATGCATTATTCTCTGGCATTTGCAGTATAGAAATTCTGGGTGATCATTTTAATGTTGAAGGTGCACAGTGGTAGGTATCCACAAGGATTTGTTATGTAAAGGTTTGTCTAGAAATAGAAACAGAATCCTTTATTTATAATGCGTGCTGCCGTGTGACAGTGCATCCAAACACTGGGTAGACAGCAGCTACACATGTTCTACTCTTTGGTAAAGGTTGGGGGTTTGTGGAGGATTTAATTTACCTCAAACCAAAGATATCCTTGATTCTCTCTTTGTTCAATTTCTCCCAGAATTCCTATAGTTGAAGGCTGTTCTCCAATAAGCAAGAGGCACTTGTTTTTCCACCATAACCACATACCCTTTACCTCAAAACACGAGCTAGAAAGAGGAGGTTGGGATGGAGAGAGGTGAAGAAAGAATTTGACAGAGAAATAAGGAAATAAGAAAAGGGAAGAAAGGGGACCAGAGGAGGAAGAGGGGTGTAGTGAAGGGAAAACACCACAAAAGCAGTGATAGGAGATGTACAAGAGACCAAAAAGAGAAAAAAGGAGCAAAAAACTAAAGTGCCACATCAAACAGTGTAACAAATCAGAATCCAGGAATATAAAACTCAGCCTTTGAGAGTATAGCTCAACAAATGCATGCTTGCTCCAAAAATATTGTGCTTAAGTCATAAAACTTATGGTATTTTCTATTCTAACCTGAATGTGCCATTTGGACCACTTCATAGCCATATTTGAACTTCTCTGAACTCTAATGCATAATCATTTCATGGCCGAGTGTCCAACATGGCATACTATCATTATATGTTGCAAATAATTATACTACAATTTTTTTTTTGCAGTAAACTGTAGTGCTGTTCTACATTTCTCCACTAGTCCACTGTGTTGACCTCTGGCAAACCTCTCACCAGTTCAACAAGGATTATGCACTCCTGCATTACACACTAACAGTGTAACACGGACACATATGTACACATAGATGCCCACGCTCACTACCCAAACAATTTGATCAAATAATAATGACACCAAACAGAACACTACAGAAACTGATCAAAAACAAAGCTGCAAAAAATAACAAGCGTTGCTGCAGAATTTATCAGATTACTATACAATGATTAAGTGTATCAAATATCCAATTAAATCAATTGATTCTGAGTACAGTCCTGGCTATTGACAGTTATTGATCAGTATGTGCACAGGTCAATACAAAATAAATTCACAATGCACCAAACACAGTCTGTGGTCACTACAGCAACAGGACATGCAGGTCAACGCATGGCTGGTTGCTCGAGGTGACAGAACAAAAATTGCCAAGGGCAACCAACACAGGCAATCAATCGCCACAGCAACCCAAACACAGGCCAACCAATCAACTTACAACAATGCGAGAGGAAGGGGGGGTCAGGGCTTTATCGTTCACTAGGCAACCATTGCCATAGCGATGGGGTCCTCGAGAATTATGATTGGACGGAAGGATCTTGGGTGAGGTAAGTTGCCGTTTCAGGAAAAGATCAAAACAGCAGGAAAGAAAATAAATAAGATTGTGAAAGAAAATAAAAAGGAAAACAATATTTTAGTATTTTTTACTTTTCCTGAGTTGATTCAGTTGTTGATCATATGAGAAACCCAATGTATATTCACTGAAATGTCATGTTAAGCTTTTTATTCTTAACTTTGTACCATCAATTAGCATTGCAGTGTCAAAGATAACGCTACCGTCTCCAGGTTTTTTTCTCTACCCTCATTTCATCCTCCTGTTCCCCAACATACAACACCTCACTTCTCCTAATGTCGTGTTACCCTCCTCATCACCACCTCACCTCTCATTAATTCTTCTTCCTCCTCTCAGTTGTCACTCAATATGGGCGGTTGGCATCTTTGGGCCTTTTGAGCTGCACTTTCAGTCTCTTCATGCCGATCTGGAAACCATTCATGGCCTGGATGGCGGCCTGAGCACTAGCTGGGTTATCAAAACTCACAAATCCTGGAAAGAAAGACAATTAAGAGTTGTTATTTTAAGGTGAAACAGACAACTTTTCCCTCACTAGCGTTTCCAAGTGGTATAGTTATTGGTAGACACACAGATTGCTTTCAGTCTTCCTCAGAGCCTAGCAACTATGAACAACAGTAGACACGCTGCATTTTTTTTTTACGAGTTGTTCTGACTTCAGGGGGCTTGATGGGAATTTCCCCAGTGTGTTACAAACTTTTATGATTATTCCGACAACACATACATGCAGCACATATGCCCCTATCTTAACAAGGTAAGATATTTTGTATATCAGCCCCGTAATGCCGACCCTCTCTAAAATATAATGGGTTCTTCTTTGCCTGTGCATCCTTCTACAAAGTTCTATGAAAATCAGGCCAGTAATCTTTCCGGAACTGAGCCCAAAACATAACCAATGGGCAGAGATGATAAAAAAGTACTTCCTAATGAGGTTGAAGCAAAAATGTTCCCCTTAATTGAACCTTTTCTACACCATGCCTTTGTCTCAACTTAACTAGGATACAAAAAAAAAACAGACACAATATCTCATTTGCCACAAAGTCACCCCGTCTTTTTCACCCGTCCTTTTCCTTTCTTCGCTCTCCCCATTTCCCTCCCTCCCTCTTTCTTCCCGTCTGTGAGTCTCACCGAAGCATTTGCTCTGGTTGGTGGCTCGGTCCACAAACACCTTAGCCGAGATGACATTGCCAAAGGGCAGGAACATCTGCAGCATCTCAGAGTCGCTGAACTCCTGGGGCAGGTGGTAGATGAAGATGTTACAGCCCTCTGGACCTGAAACACACACATTAGGCAGAGTGTGATCAATTATCTGTGAAAACCTGGAGATAAACAACTTAAGATTAGATCACTGGAGAGAGGGGTGTGGCGGCAGACAGACAGGAAGTCACATCACCTTCTCTCTGCTGCTGTTGCTGGGGCTGCTGGTGTTGCTGGGCAACCATTGTTGGCTGCTGGGGGAACGGCTGGCCGACCAATCCGTAGGCAGCAGGATACGCCGCTATTGGGAGAGACAGAAACAAAATCTTATTGGGTGAACACAACAGGTGGCAACATAGCAGTGTCCAATAGAATCATTTTGTTTGAACTGAAACATCTCCTGCTGAAGGTGAAAACTATTAAATGTAACACTTGAACAAAGCGAGACACAACAACAGTGACATTGTTGGTCTGAGTCTGGTAGGCAAGCATTACAGACCCAACTTAAGTAGGAGACATGTATGCGGATGGTGTAAAGGTAACATTGAATGTATTACATTATTACCAGTCTGTCTTCTGTGACACTCAAATCAGATGAATCATAACAGAATTAATTCAACAAGTTGCCCTTGAAACACTTCCATCTTTGAGACGATGGCGGTCAAACGGAAAGCAGACACCCCATCGTCTTTGTTCCCTATTTACATGTATCCTGAATTAACCTACTGCATGAGCTGAGCCGCACATGTAGACTGAGTTCTGATGATTATACAATTTGGTGGGCATAAGATATGGAATGAACTTTGATATGTTATATTAAGCTTTGCCAAATTAGTCTCATAACTGAATCTGAAGTTATTTACTTTTTTTTACTTCTATCCAGACACCGCCCCAACCCACAGTGAGAAGGTTTCACTCAACAAGCTTCATCTAAACATTTGTGTCACCTGTTTGTAGACTTACACCAACCTGTGTAGTGTTGCATGCCTGCATACGCCTGCTGCAGGGGGTCCAGGGTCGCAACTGGACTCTGAGCTGGAGGGCCGGGGAAAAAAACTATCAGAAAGCAAAAAATACAACCAATGTCCTCTTAAATATCCGATTCCTCTTAATTGAATGTGTGAAATGAAATCATATATACTTCTGTATGCTTTTTAGATTTTATTAAAATGTTTTACTATTACGGTCCATTCTATTTATGAGACTGTTCTTCTAAGTGTTGTAGCAGCCCCAGTTAGGATGTTCTTGTTGTGCTGGTCGAGGTCATCTTTTATTACCCCAGAAAACACATTGAAGAAGGGCGTCTTGCCTGAAATGTCTGTGTTGGCATATTAAAAAGTGAAATTGGAGTGCTGTTCTAGTCTTTTTTTTTTATACTCGACATTAAGGATCCAACAGCAAGTCCTCAAGGTCTAATCCTTAGTAGATCGTGCAGTGTTTTATTTGAGGTCCAATATATTTAAAACATTTGGCCGGGCCTTTAACACACATATTGAGCCCAACCCTCCGACAACCCCATTCAGTCTCCCACAAACTCCATGTATGCCCACTACCACACAGCATGTGTAGAATATGGTTCATACAGCTTTCAAAATTCAAGCACTCTTTTCTTTACCAAAATGTCCAGACTCCGCATTTCCAAACTGTCAAAACGTTATATTATAAACAGATATTATAAAAAGCCTCACTATTTATGTTGACTTTAACGTTGTAATACCTGTTGGAGGGACTAAGACTTTGAGAGTAATCCAATTCTCCATGCTTCACTTTATTCATTGGTTTAATTATTTGTCTGTTACTTTTGTAGCTTTATCAATGAATCTTTTTATTTAGGTTTCTATTTCCATTTCTTTTTTACGTCTTATGTAACTTTTTTTTCAGTGACCTTGACCAACTGCAGGGATGGAAAGGTGAGTTTGAGGGGACGTTTTACGACAGACACCTATAAACATACATAATTATGAATAAAAACCTTGATATGGATGAACGCCGTTGGTGTATAGTGCTTCTGTTGCTTGTTGTCCATTGGTGGGGGCGGGCAGACTGCTGTATCCATTCACTCCTAGTGGCGGAAGGAGAGAGGGCACAGGCGTTGCTGCGATAGTTGGTGGAGTGTTTGTACCTACAGACGCAGAGCAGGGTCCAGATTATGGCTCTCTGTAGCAGCAGCTTTCTCTATGCCACCTATATAACTGCATCTGTCTCTACACCTTTAAATCCTTATTTGTGTAATGAGGTTGTTGTGTATCTGATGCCAAATACTGTTAAAAAACAACAACTAAGTGCATCAATTTGATGAAGCAATGCATCTTAAGGAGAAGACTGTAAAATATTCCTATATATTGTGATAATATATAAGAATATATGTACAGCTGATAACATCTAAAAACTACTCTATTCTATGTCAACCAGTTTTTGTGCGTGGTGTCCCTGCTCATATACAAGTCCAAGAGTGTTTTGGGTATGCATGGCATCTCCGTGTGTGTGTGTGTGTGTGTGAAAATGCGCCTACCCGAGGACGGCGTGATGGGTGTAATGGGTGTGGCAATGATTCCGTTGGCATTGAGCGCCGCCATCTGCTGCATCTGTACGGCGGCAACTGTTGCCACAGGAGACAAGTACGCTGACTGGGCAACCAGGGCCTGCTGTTGGACAAGCTGCAGACAGGGAAGGAAACAGAGACAGAGGAAGGGGATGGAGAGAAAAAAGAGGGGGAGGGAGGGAGGGGAAAAAGAGGTGGAAATAGTGAGGGAGAGAGAGAAGACAAAGAGACAGTTAAATTGATATGGGAAAAAGAGAGAGAGAGAGACAAAGAGAGGGAAAAAAGGAGAGGAAGGGGCAGGGAGAGGGAGTGATGGAGGAACAGATGAATAGAGATCTAATTACAAGGCCATTATGTCCCGAGTCAGTGGGTTAATGGTTGTGTGTTGCGGGAAAGCTAATGCCAGATGACGTATGTTCTGTTGTCTGGGTAATAACATTAGCCCCAATTAGACCACTGATAGCCTCTTCAAACTTATTACATCCTCTCATAAGCACAGCACTCCCCTTACAAACTTAGTGTGTACATGTGCATTTAGTGCGCTGAGTGTTTGTGCATTTGTGTGCTGCTTGCCTGTGCGTTGACCGCCTGTGTGTAGGCATTGTAGGCGGGGAAGTTGAGGGTCATGGGGCTGAAGATGCCGAGCTGCGAGGCCACCTGCTGCATCCTCCTCAGCCCCCGCTCCTTCTCTGTGTCGGCAAACTTCACCACCAGACTGGACGACGCTCCCTGAAGGGAAAGATGGAGAGAGAGGATATTTCAATGCAATAACAAGGAATGTTACCATTTAGATTTGATATGTGTTAGAGGGACTGTGCTCAGTGTTTATTAATAAATGTTTCCTTTTGTGATTCAGATGGGGCCGATCACAGCATGTTGATAATGCCCAGGACAGCACCAAAGAAGACTGGCGATAACATTATATGCATTATTGCCTACAGAAAATGTAAACTGTCCCATGTGACTCATGTCTGTGGAAGGCATGGATGTATAAAGGGACCGGTGGAAGACCATGTTTGCCCTGCCTTGTGTGTGTGTGTTGCATGTTGTTTAATAATTTGTTATCTCATGCATGCAACTCACAGGCATTGTGCGGCTTCCATGCAAGCTGTTGATGGCGGCCTGGGCTTCAGCGTGTCCTTGGTATTTTACAAAAGCGCACCCTGCAACAAAACAAACTCAGTTACAGCACATTGCCTGTTACAATTAAATAGGGTCATTTGTGCTGGTGGGCATATGCGATTTACCTTTGCTGGTGCCGTCAGGTCCTCTCAACACAGTGCACTCGTCTATGCTGCCAAAGGGCTCAAACAGTCTCCTCACGTCCTCGTCGCTCTGCTGCTTTCCCAGCATGCCCACAAACAACTTCCTGTCCTCTGAGAGGCCAACAATTTTGAAAAAAAGCAAAGGAAAAGATAAGAATTCACCCTCATTTCCCCCAAAATGGTCACACCTAAGTTGTTCAGAAGTTCAAAGTTGTCTTATTAGAAATGGAAGCTACCACTTGTGTCCACCAGGGGGCAGAATTTACTCCATAAATGTGTAATGAGAGGGGGGGGGGGGAGTAGAAAGCATGTGATTTGAATGTGTGTCTGTGTGTAAATGTGTGTCGATTAAGCACCGTTGACTACTTTCCATCTCTATCTGATCGAACTTGACATGTTTCCTTCTCTCTGTCACACTTAAATGTGTGTTTGTGTGTGTGCATGTGTGTTTGTGTGTGTAACTGTATTTAAGAGCATGTCTCACCTCCTCTGCCCTCGCTGTCAGCTGGTTTCACTTGGATTGGCCGATTCATCTGCACAACAGACAAGAAGGAGCATTAACACAGATGGTCAACATAAACAAGTCCCTCTAGTCTTATCACGTGTCTTTAGGATTGACTCAGTAACCTAATTAGTTTAATGGCTATTTCTTAGTATTTTAAAGTGAAAAATATTATTCTTATTGTAAAATCAAAAGAATACTTACATATATTCTGTTTTATTCATATTAATTTATGTTAATTAATTTATGTTATATGTATTAATATATGTATTCATTTATTAATTCATAATTATTTGTGTTATTGTCTTCAGAGTATGCTGCTTATGATATGTCTGCCAAATCACTTGGAAAACTTAGTTTTTAAGTGCTATAACATTTCTAATATAATGGTAACATTACATTTAGCATAGAAGGTAATTATGTACATGACAGTCTTTTGAATAAAATGTTACTAATATAGCAATGATGATGGGTGTGTGTGTGTGTGCGTGTGTGTGTGTGTGTGTGTGTGTGTGTGTGTGTGTGTGTGTGTGTGTGTGTGTGTGTGTGTGTGTGTGTGTGTGTGTGTGTGTGTGTCTGTGTCTGTGTGTGTGTGTGTGTGTGTGTGTGTGTGTGTGTGTATGTGTATTTTGTGTTGGTTTGGGTGTGTCCATGTTGTAGTCCCTGATAAATCAAGTTTAGCAGGTGACAGGTGTGTCTGAACTCTGTCCCTGTATGGTCTCCCGTGTCAAAACACACACACACACACACACACACACACACACACACACAGCGGGCGGTCTCTGATTTCCTCTCTCTCTCCCTCTCTCTCTCTCTCTCCCTCACACACACACACACACACAGAATGGAGGGGGGATTGAGAAGTGACGAGATTAAGAATGCAGGCCAGCTGATCTGGATTACAGAAGAACTACGGATTAGATGAGGGACAAGAGTAGATTGAGATAGAGAGAAGAGAGGGGGGGGGGGGGGGGGTTACATGGGGAGAGATGAGATGACAAGTGTGTGAAGCGAACAGGCGCAGTCAGCTAAAAATAAAAGGATGGAGAACGAGAGCCAGGCCTGGGGGACCCCGACTGACTTCGACCGACTGAAAGGGCAGGTGGAAGGCCAAGAGGAACCCAGGGAGGGAGTGAATGGAAATGCTGGAAAAAGAAGGAGAGAGACAGAGAGACAGAGAGACAGAGAGTGGGAGGATGAAAGCAAAGCTGCCCCTGAGAGGATGATTCAAAAAGAATAGAAAGAGAAAGAGCGGGAGGAGTGGGGCGTGATTCAGTCGTGACTAACTCCGTCTAAAAAATGTCACGACGACAGAGATCCATAGCCTCGAGTGCTCACGCATGCATGCACACACATGTTCTGAATTTCCCTTCCATGTATGTACTATCTACGGACACACAGGTTTGTTACACACAGAGAAAGGCACACAAACATACTACACACAGTGCTTAGTCACAGCACTGAGGCAATGAGACAGAGTGTTAATGCCAGAGGGATGGGGTGGGGGAGGAGAAGGGCTGCAGAATGATGGCAATGAAAACAGGGAAGAAGAGCAAGGAAGGGAGAAAGAAAGAAAAATGGAGGAGTCCAGATGAGGAGAGGAAGGTCTGAATGAGGGAGGGACATTGATACAGAGAAGCAAAGCCAAAAGGAGGAGAAGAAGAAGAGTAGACACTCCTTTTTGAATCCAAACTTTGAAATGTAGCAAAACCCACATCACCAATCGTACATTTTGGAGCAAACACCCTTATCAGTCCGGCTCAGATTGAACGCTCCTCACTCAGCTGCAGCAACGTGGAAAACGTTCTAATTAATGCCTCAATGCCAGTCAAAAAGTGATTTGCAGCAATAGTGGTTGAAACGGATGTATTTTGCATCTATGACAGGGAGGAGAAAAACTAGAGGGAAGGAGACAGGATGAGTAAAGGGACGGGAATGGACAGAGAGGAGGAGGAGGGGATGAGGAGGAGGAAGAATGGAGAGAGGTCCCAGTGGGGTGTTAAGGCAATGTAATGAAGCTGGTAATTGAGGAGAGGGCAGAGCAGAGAGAGACAGATCCATACATTTGATTAATCAGCTCTTAGCTGTCACCACAAAGCTATTGATCTAAGGCAAGGCCATCACACAGAGACACGAACCCGCACTGATGCAAACACTTCTGCTCCCTCGTCCACGTAACACACACACACACACACACACACACACACACACACACACACACACACACACACACACACACACACACACACACACACACACACACACACACACACACACACACACACACACACACACACACACACACACACACACACACACACACACACACACACACACACACACAAGGTCTGCAGAGGGAATGATGTACATTTTTAACCCTGCTTGCACCTTTATTGACTCGAGCTGTCGGCATAAACATAAACCTACCAGAATACACACGCCCACACAGTTTTCAGTGACCTTGGATTCGAACTCTCCACCATCCATCATCTATCCATCTATCTATCTATCCATCCATCCATCAATTATCTATCAATCTATCAATCTATCAATCTATCTATCCATCCATCCATCCATCCATCAATTATCTATCTATCTATCTATCCATCCATCCATCTATCCATCCATCCATCCATCCATCCATCCATCCATCCATCCATCATCTATCTATCCATCCATCCATCCATCCATCCATCCATCCATCCATCCATCCATCCATCCATCCATCCATCCATCCATCCATCATCTATCCATCCATCCATCCATCCATCCATCCATCCATCTATCCATCCATCTATCCATCGAAAAACCCTATGTTTTGAATTTCTGTTTTAACTTTGCTATTTGGTATAGTTCTCTCTGAGTGTTCTGGTAGTTTAAGTTTTTCAGAAGGTTTAATTGTTATATAATGGCTAGAAGTTTAGTTTCAAAGAATAAATGGTTAGAGGAATGTGGAGGAATGGCCATAATGTCAAAATCAGTTGATTTAGAAACTATCTTGAGTACTTTTACATCAGCACACCCCACAGAGCTCAGGGCAATACAAGCTGTCCCATGTTTGGTAGTGCTACATCGCTATCTCTTGCTAAAAAACACAAACCTTTTTTTCAACAATCATTTTTTAAAGATTTGTTTTGTTTTCAACAGGCAATTATATTTTTCACTGCTATCGTTTCACTTTTAGTTAATGATAATAATAAGCGTTATCTATCCATCATATCCCAGTCCTGGTGCTATTGCTATCCATTCACGCTGCTATCCATCTTGCACTATCAACTCATCGATCAGTCCCGTCTTGTTCATTGATTTCGCTCCGTGTTGTAGAGCAGGCTGATTGTAGCAAGATTTGTGTCCACTAACCCTTTCTGTATCCATCCATCCATCCATCACCTCTTCCATTACCTCCATCATTAGCCCTACTCCACCTCATCCCTGGGACTGTAAAACAGGAGCAACCTAATGATTGCCAACTATAGTTTATCAATTAAGGTTTATCAATCTGTGTCCGAGCTTGTATGTGTTCACTATAACTGCTCTGACCCTTTTGATGATTTAAAATAACCACATGTCACAAAGTCAGAGTGATGCCTCGAGAATCAGAGGAGATGGAGAAAAAACAGCAGGTGAGAGGTGCACACTCCTGCCACAAAGACGACACAATGGCATCGGAAAATTGGCATGGCAACTGGCTCGTTGTCATGGCAATCATATGACGGCACACTGGGTAGGTAAACAAGGATGCTGGTTGCCAAGGGCGACTGCTGTGTTCTTCGGGTAAACAAAGAATCTGTGCCGGAGAGTGCTTTGCTGGCTTCATACTATCCTCCTCGGCATCTTTCCCGAACCATTTTATCTCTCTTAGAGTTAAATGAGCATTTAGTAAAAATGTATGAGAACAAGGAAATGAACAGGACGGGAGATTTATGAGAGATGTGGGCAGTATCAGGCGGAAGTAAGAGTGATTTGGCTCCGAGCGAGAGAAGGAGAGGGAGAAGGTGAGGGAACTGAATCTATATTGTAGTAGAGTAATTAAAATTCCCTTGAGCCTGGGAGAAAAATGCAAATAAAGTACAGTCCCCTGCAAGTCAGTCATACTGTACTCCACTCTTTTCCCCCCCTTTACTCCAACACACATGAAGAGCCACGCGCTCCTTTCAAGTTAAATGATCCTCTAATTACTCACGTTCTAATTAAGTCTTAATTAACGGTAACCATCTGCAAACGTGCGCCCGTACAAGAGGCTGGCTTCATACTGTAGCGAGGTCTGATCCGTCCTGCTGAATACTAAGAAGCCCTGTTCGGTATCTCTGAGGAAAGGGGATTCGTATGTGAGCAGCAGCGCGGCGATGCATGAGGGCGAGATATGTGATATATGATCGTGTGTGAGCCTGCATGACCACTCGCACTCTGTGGAGGCACGTCCTCTGACACATGCATGACCAAACCCTGCATGCAAACACTGCTCCATTTTGCATGCTGTGGTGCCAAGACAAATACACATACAGTACATGTCACTCACATATGCACACACACACTGTACTACACTTCACTTGTCCCCACACCCAGAGCACCCGCCCTTTAGCGCACACAGAAACAAACACATCCTAAACACATACAGTTAATCTCACTCCCTGCAGTAACGCAGAGAGGATTGTGCCTGGATTAGGGGATATTAAATCCTTGGATTATCCAATCAAATCGCATTCTACCCCCTCCCCCCACCCACACAAAATCAGTGGAACAAACCATCGCACCACATCATGAGGGCATGGGGGGTGGTGTGTGCATGTAAGTGTGTGTTTACATACATACACAATTTGGAACATGGATTAAAGTACAGTGTTAAATCATTGTTTTCATTTTGGCAATTCTCCACAAATGTAAAAAAGATATAAAAGTGATTACAGCGCATGCCATCAACTGACAATTGAGTGTGTGTCTCTGTGAGTCTACAGTGTACAAACACACACACTCTCTCTTCATATCTGTCTTCCTCACACACACAAATGCACACACACCCCTCCCCCTTCA